GATTAAATTCTTTTAACGCATAGAGGTAGAAAAACCTTTCAGAATTAAAAAATACCGACGTGTGACATTGAATAGTAGAGTCAACCGAAAAAGAAGCTTGAACTGCAATGATCATCATGTTTGTTTATGACACAATATATTTTCTAACAAAAACATTTTCTCGAAAAAATGTAGGTGAGGGTCCGTACCCTCAGGTGGTTTTGGTCGAAAAAAGTTTTTTTCAAAAAATGCTTTTCTTTCTTAAAGGTGGTTTTTGAAGTGATATACAGCCACTTTTGAGCAAAAGAAACCCGTATTTGAGCACGAAAGTTACATGACAGCCTGCTATGCAAAAAATGCACAGTGTGCATTATTGATTTTTACCTTAATCTCTTATGAGTTTTCGGCACCGGGTGGGACAGATTCGACTACTCTCATACCTGAAAATGTTGTATTTCTCACTTGCACAAAATGATTCAGTGATATTTTGTCATCATCTTCACCTTCCGAAATATTTTCACTTTCATCATCCTCACCATAATAATCATTGTCTTCGTTTCCACTACTACTACTTGTATCTGATTCATTGTCAACACCATCATCAATTATTGTATTATCAGTTACATTGCTTGATGGTCGTAAATTATTCGATATATATGCGGACAACTGTTTTGATGTATAAATTTTATTTTGTTTTAATAATTTAAACGCGTTTCGAATTATCTTCATCAGTAAATGCTCGTAAAATGGTGACTGCTATTAGAATAAACGCATCTTATATACATTTTCTGAACAAACACAGTAGAAAGAGACAGATGAATAGAAAAAGAAACAAGGATACTATTCCAAGGGAGAGTGAAATTTATGAAAGGACTTTCTTAAAATGGGGAGATGTTTTCAAAGGGCGAGTGAAATGTTCTGCATGCAAATATAAAGATGTTTTTCAAGAGAGAGTGAAATTGTTTTTGCTATTACGGCTCTTTGACAGTATGTATAACCGAAAAATTACGGATGATATATCTGTAATACAGTTTATAGTGATCTTCAACCATCTGCTAAAATACCATTTTTCATATTTCTCAGTAATTATACAAAAGAAAAATGAGTTAGAACCTGCATAACATGTTACAACGCATTACAGATTAATGCGTTATAATGCGATAGAAATTTAGGAACGCCTTTTAACGGTATATAAATATTAACGCCTTACTCGAATTTATAGCGTCGTAACATTATATGAGAAAGTCGCTGACAAAAATGTATAATAACACTACAATTTCAATTTTTTGTCAGTTTTTCTACGTAACGCGTTATAATACATTAAAGACAGGTTTTTTCTAAAGTTATCGCGTTGTAACACAATAGAAAATGCTATTATACATTTTCTACATACAAGTTTGACTACCCACCATCAAATCACGTTTTTCGATAACAATCTGTTTCGTAGTTTGGTACAACGATGAATTGGATCCTGAAAAAATAGCAATAATTGCTTTTCACTAAAATAATAATAATAGAAAAAACACCTGGTTTGCCTGTAATTTTAATATTAGATGAACCGGCGCACTAACAAGTCTCATTGATCTAAGATACTTTCCATCACAATCCGTTGAAAAATCAATAACTCTGAGTTGTTTCGAGTAACATTCGATATAAATATCCATGCATAAATATCCATCTACGCCAGATATCATTCGATATACGAGCTCATCTAACACATTACAAGGTATTACGATATACCTAACGTATTATAATGCAATAAATAGGAATAAAAGATCCCATGGACACTATACGCCACAAAACTCTTTAGAGTGAGTGTGATCAATCTCATAGCATTTTTTCGACATTCTGAAGTATAGTTAATACAGATCGTGTGCGAATCATTTTGTTTTACGCTTCTCCGTGACGCCAACATCGAAAAATTGAACTGGATCGTGGCGGCATACTTTTTTGAACAATTTTTCAAGTTCGTTTCTAAACGAGCTTTGCGGCGCCCTTTTAACTTAGAATGTGTACATAATTCTTAAGACTAGCGCGAAAAAAAGTATGCCTCCACGATCCAGTTCAATTTTTCGATGTTGGCGTCACGGAGAAGCGTAAAACAAAATGATTCGCAGAATGAAGAGAGTTATAACTTGTCCCTCCGGAGTGAAAGTTCACTCCGTAGAGTACGGTGTTTCCCCCTTGGTTATAACGCTATAAATAAGGAAAAAAGATCCGTGAGTATAGAAATCAAAAATGTGTGGTAAAAGTCTTTAAAGTGCTGTAATACTATGCACAGTGGGCATTTTTATATTAGCAGGCGGATAGTAGAAGTTTTTGCTCGTAAATTCAAAAACAAAGTGCATAAAAGTCTATGCACCATAGGTGTATGGTCTATAGACGAACATTTCAACAACTATTGGGTTATACCAGGGTAGGGGGAGATGAGGAAGTTCATTGCACTGATCACATGTCTACGGAAAAATTAGTTAGCGTGGAACTAATTTTGTATCTATGGAGGTCTAAGTTGAAATCGATAACTTTTTTCGCGAATATATATCTTAGAGAATCTAAATTCATATTCCGTTCCTATTTATAATTCGATTGGATTCGGTATAGGCTATTTTTTGACTAAGCATTTTCCGATGATCGTTAACAGCCTGAGGAAAAATTCTTTTACCAATAGATAGCCCATATATCCAGGTATACGTTTCTCTAAGAAGATCGGAAAATTGACCACTTCGACTTTTTGGCTAACTGTCCGTCTGAATGCTCGCTTTGTTTGATCAGTGCGATAATTTTGCCTCAGAAACCAGTGTGTTGAAAGCCGTAAAACCTATGTTGCACCGTTGGCTCGATACTGTCATACAAAATATTTTGACAGTGGAAGTCGGCAATATTAACCATACTCGGTGTCTTCCATGGAAGACTAACACATCTAGTCTATTATAGAATCCAGACTAATTTTAAACAGTTGTGCCCTAATTTTAAAAATGCTTTCATTAAACCCTTGAACCCTTTACGGCTGAAATGGAAATGATGGAAGATTGTTTTGCAAGACAAGTAAGAGAAACTTGAATTGACGAATGGGCAAGTACAGCTGCAAGAAAAGAGAATGAACAACTTGAATTATTTCGAAGTAAACCAAATACTGATATTTCCAGTATGTTTCCAAATAAATCAACAAAAATGTCGACAAATCTAGATCACCTTGGACAAATGACGATGAAAGATACTGATGGCATTAGATTACTACGTACAATGAATGAAGAACAACAAGATGTGTGAGGATATAGATCCTCTAGTGGCTAACTCTAATCGTAGTAGTGAAGCTATAGTGAGAATCAACTCTCACTCCGATATCTTTATTTGAAGCAAATGAACAGCTATATATAGTACAAAGTTAAAC